GCTGCGACAATTGATCACTGTTTGTACCCTCCGCTGCTCCCCTTTGGAAATGCTAACTAGGTTATTCAGCATCTGCTTTGATGTCCTGATAGGTGCTATTAGATAGTCAATTAGGCATCAACGAGATGGATTGTTTGGGAATAGATGCTCTTCTGTTTGAAGTACCCGTGAACACTAACAGGGCCATCACCCAGCGGCTCCTTTGCCCGCGGGAACAATGCGGGCTGACACACAATAAATGACAAACGCCACTGACTCAGCCGGCAGCGCTGCGTCCTCCTCCTCCCGGCTCACACGCCGCAAGCCCAAATATTCCTGTTCAGCAACGGTGGGAGCAAACACGTGCTTTGCATTAAAAAGAGTTTATCGGGGAAATCTCATTCATTCAGTTCTTTGCGCAACTAATGGACAAAGCGCCCAGATAAGTTAAGCACAAGTTAGCTCGAAACAAAATAGTACTTGAATTCCCATACGCGGCATCACCACATTGCCTGAGGACTTCTGACACCTCCATAGTTGTTCAGAATTGCCCAAGCAGGATAACGAAGCACTAAAACGTGAATTAAAGCACTTAACCTACCTGAATACCAAATAGCTGCTAGGATTAGCTCTCTACTAAATACCACAGAAGATAACACTAAGTCGAGGCCTAAAGAGTTTAAGAAATGGCTATAAAGGAAAAGCAGTAAAGCCTGTACAAGGAACAAGTCGAGACCAAGAGATCTCTCCTCTTTCTTTCTGCCCCCACTTCACTGGGTTTTATCAAGTTAATTGTCATCTAATTGCGTATCAAAGAAAGAGATAATGGGCAGCAATTAGATGTAATGGCCTGCCAGGACGAGATCTCTCCCGATTAGCACACAACGCCGAATAACTTCACCTGGTTCGTAAAGAGGTCCCTGGAGTGGCTCCACAGTGTCTGGGAGCTGCAGGGAGGGGGGATACCCCGACCCTATTCCCAGTCCCCTGTTGGCTGCTCTCGCCAAATTGGGACAGGCGTTAACGAGCGCGGGCTGCAGCCGCCCCCCTGCCATTACCGCTGTGCTAATTCAATCATGTGTCTCCCCCTCCGCGCACACACTGCAGGGGAGAGAGGCTTTGAAGTTAGTGCTCTGTCAATTTTTCCCTCCCACCCCCTTTTCCTCCCCGGGGAGCCCAGTTTCCAGGTTACACAGCCTCTTCCCCGAGAGCCGCCAGGCCCGGGGCTTCAACAGTTTCCCCGCACAAGCATTAAACTGCTCCTCCCCAGCTAATCGACTCGGCTTTTCCATTTGTAGCTGACTTGCAGACAAGGCTTTGTCTTGCCGGAGAGCATTCCGGTACCGATGCTTATTGTGATGCCATTAAAGACACAAAGGGGCGCGCTAGAAACGAAGGGATTCTCAGCCGCGCGGGGGCGGGGGGCGACACAGCCTGGGAGGTTATCTGCAGGGCTGCTGGCCCTCGGGCTGATGCTGGCCCTGCGGCGTGCAGTGCCGGAGCAGAATCGCTTTGGTCTCCGGCGAGGGACTGCCAGCGTGCAGGGGACCTGCGCTGGCACTAATGCACCTTTATTGCTGCCGGGGATAAAACACAGTGGATGAGAAATTCAAACGAGCAGGAAGAAAACATGAAGGGATGTCTGGGTTTCTTTCTCCCAGATCAAAAGGAAGACTTGCATTCACGTTTTAGTAACAGAACTGGACCGCTTCAGCAAAAATGAAATGATTTCACATACAGTTTTCTAGATCACTAGAATGTGGCAGTTACTTTCTAAAGCCGACTTTTGCAGGCAGAAGAGGAATTATTATGTAGATATTCGGAGGAATCCGCTACCATTTGGGACTCAGCCAAATGAGCATCACCTCTCGCGTTCATTTGAGCAGTTGTCGGAACCCGGAAAGTATTTGCAAGCTAGCGCTGCCGAAACACTGGCAAGGCATTTCGCGTGCTTGTTGAGTATACATGTAGCCCAGGAGTCATTACATTAAGTGATCATTAGCACCTTTTCAAACAGAGCCCGGCTTCTCCCTCGCCAGCCGCTCTGCAGCTCGTACCCCCGCAGGCGGGACACCCCGTGAGCCCCCGCTCACCCGCGGGGACCCGCACACACGCACCCCGCAAGCAAAGCCTCCACCTCCGAGATTGCCCCCACGGCTGGCGCCGCTCGGCCCCGCAGCCCTGCTTGTCCCAGAGTGGTCCCCACAACCCCCACGGAATTGTCACACCACGCGTTGTTCCTGCAGCCCCAATTGCCTCCGGCTCGCTCTAAACCTTTGGACGGAGGGGGAACTGCTTTCCGCACCGCTGGATCTCAGTGGAGCCGCGCTCGGGTGCAGGGAGGCGCAGCGTCAGCCCCCCTTGTGCTGCGCCCCCATCTCCCGGCCCGGCGGCCGCGGGGAGCCCGGTGCCGCAGCGGCGCCCGCTCCGCGTTACCAGCCCCGGGGACGGGAGGGCAGATCCGGGCGAGCACGGGACAGACGCCCCGGCAGGGCTCAGCCAGAGCTACTCCCGGGCAACAGCTCACTGTGACATTTGAAAACCAAATTGTGCTCCTGCATCTCCTGTTCCTTATTGCCCTTCATGTAGTGGTGGGAGTCTCCGCCCAAACCCCGTCCCCACAGGTGGGAGCACTTTGTTCTCCCTCTCTCCTTCCGAGCCCTTTCATCTCTCTCTCATTTCCCCCGGCCCCAGCTGCGGTGGTACCCGTTCTCCCCTCCCCTCTCACCCTCCCAGCACGAAGGGCTGTCACTGACCCTTTTGTACGGGGTGAGCAAAGCGTTTAGAGAAGAGGTGGTGTCCGCCTGTGTGCCCATAAAAGATTATAAGAGGATCACCTCACCCCTCTACCACCGTCCCCTTGAAAACGGGATACCCAAACCGAGTCTCACGCTTAAGACCTTTTTATTTTTTCCTCAGATAAACTTTATATTTATTGACCTTCACTGTTTTGCTATTTAAAAAATGTCACCGCTTTAGAGAAAAGAAAATATTCACCATTGCAGAGCTCTTTCTGGAAATATCCCAGTTCCCTAAAGACATTTGAACGAATCAGAGAACTGTAGATTATTTTTTTTTCTTCGAATCAATATAGCCGTTTAGTAATACCCGACTTTGAGAAATAAGCCTCCCTTCAATGGGAATTTTATCTCGTGTCAACAAATTTCCTTAATACCAAATGTATCGTATTCCTGAAGAGATCTCAGCAAGATTGATAGCACCTGAGCCCTCATTAGTTTTCTGAAATTCTAGCATTAGAACCACATTAACTATGCAACTGCAAGCAAATACTAGTATCTCAAAAGGCTAGAAAAATACAGCATGGATTACAAAATAATTAAAGAGACTTCCAAATGTGACAGCTACTTAGAAAATCAAAGGCCATAACCTTCAGCAGCGCATAACGTTGCTTTTTACCAGGCTAGTATACTCAAGTGGCAGATTGGTCCCTGTATACGAAAGAAAATAGATGTGTTCAAGGATGACTGACACAGAACCTTCAGACCATTCATTCATTATATGAGCCCAGATTACAAGTGCGCCGGAAGTCTTCTAATAACCCCCGAGATCAACTCTAAAGTGATGGAAATTTTTATTGCTCTTTTTATGTTAGTTGACAATTGACTTTGAAAGATTTGTGGCAACTTACATCTGTCAAGGATCATTTCTCAGAGCCATTTCTCTAGTCTGAAGTCAGACTATTTTGATCTTAAAATTTTCTAGAGCACTATTCAAATAAAAAAAAAGGTGCATAGCACGATGGTAACAATTTTACCACCATTTAGGGGAAACCAGCTTTGGAATGTTGCATTTATTTTGATAATCACCCTCATACCCCATTAGGTGTGAGATGCCAAGATACTATTTTGTTGATAAGAAGTTTCAAGGCTAGATTCTTTCCAAGATCTGTTTAGTACTAATCTACTGAGGATGCACATGAAAGTGTGGAGATACAATTACATATTTATTTCGAAACAAAATTTTTACATCTTAAAATCATATTCTATATGTTATTTAAGAGCTCCAACAGAAGTGTACCCATGCTGCTACTACAGCAAGCCCAGTATTAAGTATCAGTTACAGGCGCACCCACATATTTGGATAAAAGCGCAGTCCCATCAGAGAAAGCACCACTTAGGAAGTGGCTGAAGGGGTTGGATACCTACTTTAGAGGACAGGGATATTCACTCTTTTTTTGCACTCACCCTCAATAAATTGCAGGGGGCCAGAACAGCTCTAGAGAATAAGGAGGCTATGCTTCCTTTAATGAAGAGGACCTCTCTTTTAGGGCAGGATAAATAGCTCCACAAGGAATTCACATGAAAGCTGGAAAAACTTTCAGTTTATTAAAAGATTCCATTTATATTAGTGTTTGCCCCACTGTGTTTCTATTTTACACAGTTGCCTATAAATGCAGGGCTCTGAAGTCCATGATCCACATCCAGATTGTCCAGTCTGTCTCTGTAAAATATTTTGCTCAGTGCTGCATCATAACTCCATCAGGCACTTACAGACAAGGGCAGCCCAGATAGCTGTCAGTAGTGCAAATCCTCCTTTGTCATAGTCCATATTAGAGGGTCAGACACCCAGCAAGAAAGCTCTGGGATCCCTGTACCCTACAAAGCAGGGTGCAGCCCAAAAGCCCACAGGCTGTGCTCTGCAGGCGCTGCTGAGGTCCAGGCTGGGTGTTGGCAGCGCCGTCAAGGTGAAGCCCCCAGAGGCAGTCCCTTGCCGGGCCAGAGGTGGTGGCCGGGCCACGTATGTGAGCGGTAAGGGCACAACGCCGCTCTGAGGTCCGTAAGGGAGAGGGGGGCTGCAGAAAGGCTCCGTCCTCAGCTCCTGCAGCTGCCGCTTGAGCTTCATCCTGCGGTTCTGAAACCAGGTCTTGATCTAGGGGAAAGGGGAGGCGGGAGGAAGGAGAGATGAGGTTACCCAGCCCATGCCGTGCCCCATGCCCAAGCCATTGCCCACGCCGCGGCCCGAGACCCCCCCATACCATTGCCGCCCCCCCCCGCGCTCACCTGCACCTCCGAGAGCCCCATCCTGCCCGCCAGCCGCCGCCGCTCGGCGGCCCCCAGGTACTGCTGCCGCTGGAAGGAGCTCTCCAGGGTGCTGAGCTGCTCCGCGCTGAAGGCCGTGCGCAGCCGCCGCCCGCCCCTGCCGCCGGGCTCCTCGGGACCCGGGCACTCGGGACCCCCCTCCGGCGGGGGCTGCTCCGCTCCCCACGGCCGCTCGCCTGCTCCTGGGCACAAGGGAGAGGGAGAAAGGGGTCAGCCAGGCCCGGGAAACGCGGGGGTGCCCGCCCGCCTCCCTGGCCTCCGGGCGGCCACCGCACGGTTGGTGCTTAGCCCGGCCCTGGAGGCGGCGCGGGTCCCGTCCGTCCTCCCCCTCCCAGCGCGGGAGCACGGGGATGCCCCGACGGCCGCGGAGACCGCGGTTACCTGCAGCGGGGGGGGTCGCCAAGCGCTCCCTGCTCCTGCCGCCTGTCCCGGCCCGCGGGCCGGCGGACTGCTCCTTTCCCCGTTCGCTCAAGCCGGGGCTGGGGCCGGGCCGGTGGCCCAGGGCCGCCGAGGATGATGGGTGCTGGGAGCCCTCGGTGGGGCTCTTGAGGGCCTGGCTGCTCTGGGACAACCACTCCACAGAGAAAGGGGCCTTGGTCATCCTGCCTTGTTTCGGTGATACCAGGAAGGAGGGTGTCGGGGAGCACGGCTCCTCCTTTATACCCCAAGTCCCGGAGGAAAACGTTGTTTGTGTAAATACACATCAAAGGGCCAGATAAGTATCATCTAATTGCCATCAGTCCTCCCCCCCAACAAAAGATACCGTTCACACATTGCCACAGTTCGCAGAGGCTCGGCTCCGCCGTGTCTGCCCCTGGAGGAGTTCGCTCCGCCGTCAGTGATTTACAGCTCTTGTTACATCCTATCCCCATGCAAATGGCATTTATAGAGCTGAGCGGCCTCAAACGGCGCTGGGGAATGCACCCCCGGGGGAGCGCACAGGGACCAGCATCCCCAGACGCTGGCGGGAGAGGGGACGCTGATGCTCTCGATCCCACTTCCCCTAGAGTTGGCTTTTTCATTCCTTTTCAAGCAGAAGAGCCACTGTCTTAAGGGATCTTCTCAAGCCTGCTCCTCTGTGGCCTGAGCACTGTGTTGTCGAGACAGCCTGAGGCAAGCAAGGGGGTAAAATCACTCATTGCATTCTCCTGGGACTGCAGCATCAGGTTATAAGCACCAGGCACGGGGTGAGGGGTTTGGAGGAGAAGGCTGTGAAACAGAGAACGGTAAAGGTCAAGGCTGTTCGGTTGTACCAATCGGTTGGCTCCTGGCTGCTTAGATAAAGTATGTTTTCTGGAATAAAGAGTCAGAAAAAGACGATTGCCTTAGAATTAACATTCTGCTGAGATTTTTTGCCGAAGTTATAGAATTCATGTCATATCTTCCCTCCAGATCTCTTGCAGCTGTGCAGGTCACACAGGTTTCTCTGCTATCTTGCTCCCCTGCCTTTCCTCTTATTACCTTATGCATGTCTTTCAGAAGTGTTCCAATCTCATCTTTGGGTTATGTGTGCAACAGGAACACTTGGCTGCTGCAGTAATTCCCTTGTAGTGTATTGACTAAAGGTTCCTAGTGTTTTACGGGCAGTTTTTCACTGTGGGATAACCATGAATTCCCTCCCATCCCCTTCCCCGCACCTCCCACTCCCAACCCCCCCACCCGCGTGCAAGTACAGAGTGGGTCTACGGCACCACTGATAACTCCTATCACACTCCTGCTTGGCACCAGTCTGCTTCCAGAAATCAAGACTGATGTCTGATTTGTCTGTCCTTGTTCCTGTTTTCTGCCTTACACTCACCCTCTACCACCTGCACACAAGCCCCACTGTCCATTTACTCTGTGACTTGGGCTGTTATTCTGCCACTCCTGCCAGATTTCTCAGCATCCACTGTCTTCTGTGACCACAGCTAATGTAACCATGCCTCTCTCTATTTCTTTGGCTGTTAGTGAGGTAGAGGCTTGAAGACTGAACTCCTACTCAATTATTTAGTTTATGTATAAATCTTTCAATGTATTCAATTTTAATCTTATAAAAATATATCTTTTGCTTTATATTAATACAGTAAAATGTTTTACTCAAACGTCTTAATCTATCTTTTCCTAAAACCTACATTTCAGCTGGAGTCCACTCAAAATATGGTTGCTATATCCATTCATCTATCTCAAAATCCTACTGTTTTCTGCTTACTAGCAAATAGTTTCATTGAACGATGTTCAAGTTTGACTTGTGAGCCCCTTCTAAGCTGTCTCTCCTTACTTGCTCATTTTCATGGCATAGTCTGAGGCCTCTTCTGCTTTACCAGTGATGCCACTGTTCAAGAGTTTGACTGTCTCTGACCAACAAAAATACAAATATTGTTGTCACCTTTATTTAAAGGTGGCTAATAACTGATCTTGAACCTGTGGGTGCTACCACAACCAGACATGACTGTAGTCCTCCTGGAGCCCTTTGTTTCTGGTTTGTGTAGGTAGGGATTGACTCTGCAGCCTGAACTACAGCAATAGCCAGCACCCACTAAACAAGCTCCCTGGAGGAAATCAAGGGAACTACCGTTAAAATGTCTGAACAAGCTTCCTGGAGGAAACTAAGGGAACTGGTGTAAAACTGTCTGAACTAAATGACCAGTCCCTTGAATTAGCTGTATTTAACACGTGGCCTGGAAGCAGCCTTCCCAGTCAGAACTGGGAATACTAGCGCCGTTGCCTGCCTGGAGAATCCTGCCAAGCCTCCTCTGCAGTCAGGCAAAATGCCTTCCTCAAGGACTAAATTGTCATGAACATCAGAAAAAAGGAAGTGTAATTTTCCTGCGACTTTCCTTCTCAATTTGAATCTCTCTGATTACTTTAATGGCATTCTGCATCGCAGATGGGGCAAGATCCCATCCCAAGGAGATAAATGTCCCTTGTGTCCAGAATTATTTCCATTCCTAGTGTCTACATAATACTATAGACACATATGAATGTAAATAATATATGCTACTTACATACTTATATATAACATATATACTTATATATTGATATACAAATATTTTTTAGAAAAAGTATAAAACAGTCTATCTGTATGACATTATTTTTCCCAGATTTATTTTAAGTCAATGAATAAATGTACTTCGCAAGCTATTCAATAGGACAAAAAGAATACATGACATATGATGGTGTGCTAAAAAATAGAAAATCTCGGGTTTTAGCATCCACTGCTACATCTGTCACACAGTTTCTTTACAGATTTTAAGACATTTTCACCATCTGAGCTGCAAATTACATCTTTATACACTGCTGGTTTATTAATTGCATTTTATTGAGGCAAATGTCACAGCCAAAAGATGGTGTCAAATGTTGAGCTCTCTGAGATACAAATTGATCACGTTGTGACAAGGTTAAACCAAATCTCATTTCCACTATGCATAAAATGTGTAAGTATCCTGGATAGATGGCAGATGACTTCTGGATGTAATGACTGCTACAATATTTAACAGCTGCTAGTTTAATTTTATCTAAAATTCTTAAGCTGCCTTCTTTCTGTTTCTATGCATTATTCATTTGGTGTTTGTTTGAAAACCTCCTGCTAAACTGTGATTCAGAAATAGCATGGTTAAGATCAAGAGATGTTGTTAATGGGATGAAAACCTGCTTTTTCTAAAGTCCTCGGGAATTTGTCAGAGAGTAGAGCAGGGACAGATAGGACCATTCCCTCTGCTGCTACAAGGAGGTCGAGACAAAGAGCTCAGACGTGCCTACATGACTGCCACTAGCAGAAGTCTTAAGATCCATTTACTGAAGGCAATGACAATACCTTATGCAGATGTTTGTACAATACATAGTTGCTCTCTTTGGGGAGTCAGCATCTTCCCCATGAAAATAAGGACCATCAGCTTCCTGAGGACCAAAGGATTCTGAGGATCATAATGCTAAATATCAGCCCAGGCCAGGACATTTTGTGGGAGGCGATATAGAAGGGAACATTTTAGCATTCAGGGGAATTAAAATGAGCTGAGTTTTGTCATTTGACACTGATCCTGATATTTCTTGTGAGCAGCAGCTGCATTCAAAGATGCCAAAAAGTGGCTTTATAGATGCCTGGCTGGGACAAGTGGGATGGGATCAAGATAATGGTGCTTATGCAAGGCAGCCCTGCAGAAATGTATACACACAACACTGGTCTTTGGCTGAGGAGGTTCTGCAGAACTGGCTAGTCCTGCCTGGATGCCTATCAGGCAGTTGAGAAACGGATAGATTTTGGGATAACAGCCCAGCCTTTGAGAATGAATTGCTACTCCACCTCTTCCAGCCCAAAGGCCAGCTCTGCCCTAGTAAGCCAGTGCTGAGCCCTGCAGAGGGGCAGGACCGTGCTCTGAGATATCCCCTTACTATTGAAGCTTTGAAGGAACTGAAGAGAGAGAAACCTTGGGTTACCCACAGGTACTGGAGAAAACTGCCACCATTTCATATTGCTACAGTGTGGGGACACAAGACCAAAGAAGGGGACTGTGATTTTTTAACAGCAGGTGACCCTTTCTCATAACAGTGGAGAGTCCTGTGAGAGTAGAGTAGAGGGTCCTTGGGAGTAGCTAGGTGGCGATGCAATTTAAAGAGTAAAAAAGGCAGCTTATGACACGCAGGGGGATGCGTTCATCTGTGGGAATGTGGATTTCCTGTGAAGGTCTGCCCAGCGAGGCAGGGGCTACTGGCATCTGCTGCACAATTTATATGGTCTTGCCCTGGCATGTTTATCCAACCATTGTAATTTCAGAGAAATCACTCTTTAGGACTCAAAAGCCTTACAAATGGCCTCTAACCAATTTCTTTATTATCAATTACTATAATCTTTCCTCTTTGACAGAATAAGACCTACTTTTCCATGAGGAATAAAAAGACCATATGTGCAGAAATACCAGGAGGGCCTGGAATAAACAGAGTGACAATGCATAGATGAAAATTAAATGGCTCATCATGCTTGGAATTGATCTAAATCAACACAGCACTCAAAATGCCAAGAGCTCCCATGGCTCCTTACCATAAGGCTGTTAGCAGCAGCTAAGCAGAACTGGTGAAATATTTTAAAAAGATATATATTCTGCAGTGAGATGCTCCAAATATTAGGAAAGAAAACATTTATATGTGTTATGCTTTTAACAGTTCCTTACGCAAATTTAAGCTTATTAAAAAAAGAAGTCAAAGTTGATATGAATCAGGAACACATTTAAAACACGTACTGCTGTTAGAGAAGCAAGGTTCACCTGCAGATTTTTTTTTAATTTTATTTTTATTATTTTTATTAGACAAACTATTATAGTTGGAAAACCAGCCAAGTTTCAGGCATGTAAATCCTTCTTCAGCACTCATTGCTGTCACACTGTCACTGAGAGAGATCTCTATGGACACTGCTCAAACAAAACTGCTCAGAAGTCTGTAGTTGGTTTAATTCTGTCTAGACTAGTAATTATATTTTTAAAATTATTAGTTGAAAGGAAGCAGCGTGAAAAGGGGCTTTAGAAATGGTTGTATTTTCCAAAGTATATAGGGACTAATTTTTAGGTGCATAAATATGCTTTAGGGTTTGGGTTGTGTTAAAAATATGAATTACGTAGGGATATGAGGTGC